CCCCGGCTCCCGGCCCCCCCTCCCGGCTGATGCCCCCTGACACAGTGTCCTCAGTGCCAAGGGCGGCCACTGCCCTCCCTCTGCCTGGGCTGGCCGGGGAAACTTGGCCTTGGGGCCACAGAGCAGCCCTTGTGGCCTGGGGAAGCCCGGTCCATTTGGTGCTGGGGGCATCCAGACATCCCTCGCCTGGCCTGGGCAGACTCATGCTCCCCCAGGGCCGGGCAGCGCTCGGGACTTCCCCAGCTGAGCCCATGCATTGTGTCCCAGCTGGTCCCCGATGGAGCAGTCCAGGGACCTACAGTGGTTTTTGGCTGTGCTCAGGGTGACTCAGGGTCTTTAAGAGCCTGCTGCAGGAGGACACGTTCTCATGAGCAGAAGAGAGCAAAAATCTGCCTCCCAGCAGCGTCACTGTGGCATTGTGGGGTCTTCACGTGCTTCTCCTCTGCTAGCTAGGGTCTGAGCCTTGCAGCGCCCTCAGCTCATCTGCACCCTCCTTCTCCTTCCCACCATTAGAGCGAGCACCCCTGGGGACAGCCAGACCTGTGACAGGAGGGAGGGCCACAGCGCCCTCAGCCCAGCTGTCCATGGCTGTCCATGAGCCACCCTGACCTCCCATGGCACCACTGCGCCCACGGGAGATCCTGCCCAAACCAGGGAGCGGGCAGGTTGGAACGCCTGTGACTACCGGCACAGCTATGGAAACGGCCACTGCTGCCATGGCCACTGACCCACGCAGCCCCCCACCAAACTCCCCATGGGCATCTCCCCTCCAGCCTGGGCTCTTGCACCAGGGGGTCTTCACAGGATAAAGAAGTTCCCATCAGGGAGAGGAGACGGTTTCTGCTTCATCAAGAGGGGTCTAGACGTGTGGGGTCAGCATCACAGTGACCTTTGTGGATCTACTCCGATCACTGGAGCTCAAGTTTGGGTCAGAACCCAGCCCTGGTGGCCCCTCTCCTGAGCCAAGGATGCAGCCTGTGATGGGACTGGGACCAGCACTGCATTGGGGGCAGAGCTCCCAAATGGCTGGGCCGTTACCTCCTCCCAGTTTTGATGGCAATGTGCTTGCTGACTTCCACTGGGATCTCCTCATCCAGGGGACAAGGGGTCTCCCTGCCGCCACGGCTCTCCTCCTGGGGATAACCAGCTCCCGGAGGCTCCAAGGCAGCAGGGCAAGTCCAGGGAAGTCACCTCCAATAAAACCTTTTCTCATGAAAGACCCAAGCAGGAGCCATGCTTCACATCTGCATGGTGGAGAAAGCAGTCTGGGGTCTTTAATGCAAGTAAACTTCACCTCTAACTATCTATTTCTCCAGGAAATTTGCTGTACCAAACCTGCCCCCCAAGCAGAGTAATTCTTCGCCAGACCAGGAAAGTAAAAGCGACCCTTTCCCATCCTGCAGCAAGCCCGTCGCCAACTTTCACCGCCCGAAGGCTTAGCGCAGTCCTAAGTGCAGCCTTTCCAAAACCTTATCTCAGCACGCTCCTAGAATGCCGGTGTCTGGCTCCCGGGTGGCCGCGGCTGCCGGCTTTCCCAGCCGCCACCACCTACCTGCTGCGGAGAGGAAACCACGCACGGCTCCAGCTGCCTCCCCGAGCCCACCCACCGGAGACGGTGCGGATTTTTTCAGGGTCATTTGCAAAGATCACAGACGTGGAGGCCAATGTTATGGCTACTCTTCTCAGCTTGCAGCTAATGAGGGCACAGGAAGGGGCTCGGCTCCTGCAGCCCCGGTGCTGCTGCACAGCCCGGCAGAGTGGAACTTCCCCACGCTACTGCACTGGAGAGGGCTCCAGTAACACACAGCATCGCAGCTGCATCCTCAGTTCTGAGTATTTTGGGTGCTGCTGGATGAGTGCTCCCGCCTCTCTGTGGTACAAAACCTGAGGAGCCAGTAGAACTCCATGAGCAAACCCTGGCGCTGGGGCTCAGAGAAACACATGACCCTCAGAAACCCCCTGGCAGGGTTGCTAAAACCACCCAAGAACCACTCCGTTGCCTCCTCTTCAAAGGAACCGTGAATTCCGAAGCTCTTCCCAAGCTCTTTGCCCCGCTCCTTGCCCAGGGCCGTTTCCCTCCCCTCTGCGAGGGCAGCGCCAGCAGCTCCCACTGCTGCCTCCCCACCTGGAATCACAGAGCGCTCTGCCCCAGCCAGAGGGAACGGGCACTTCCCCGAGCCGCCTGGAAAACAAAAAAGCATCTGTGACTCTTCCCTGACCAGGGCTTTACCTTCCTCAGAGGGTTTTTCCAGGCTGCAGATACTATCTGATTTCCCCCTCCCGCCCCCCTGCAGCAATTACTACTTAAGCTGTTAAAACAAGCGTAGCCAGTCTGGTACGGAGTGGAAAATATGATCCTAGGGAAGGGAACAGGCAGGGGAAAAGGGAGGTCAAGGGGAGGTGGGCTCAGAGCAAAAGGGAAAAGGCTTTGGCATGGAGAAGCTTCCCTGGAAGCAAAGGCTCCCAACTTGCCCAGGCCCCCGCCTCTGACCACCACCACCACCTCCAGCCTCCTCTTTGCCCGCTCCGAGTTCCCGCTCTTCAACCTGGAGGATACAAAGTCTTGGCCAGCAAGAAGAAGGGGAAACAAGACTGAGCTTCTAGCAGCCTCCTCTGCCTTCAACACCCACCTCTACCCAGACTGCCTCCAGCGTGTCCCACCACGATGGCTCAATCCTGCCTGCACTGGGGCTGCTCAGTCCACACGCTCCAAGCTCAGGCCCTGAAGAAGGCACCCGAAGGCCTTGGCTGTGCTTGCCCTGTCCCTTCCTGCACCCCAGGGACTGCCACATGAGCCCAGGCAAACGGTACTTTCCTGAAACCATCTTATTAAAGACATTTCAGGCGGGTATGTTTTCCTGAAGAATTGCAACCTAGAGCAGCTATTCCATAAGAATCAAGCTTTTCATATGAAAGTTTGGGCTTCTGCATGACAAGTAGAAGAACCCTGCCTCCTCCCACAAAACAAAAACAAAAACAAAAAACATGAGCCATTATGATGCTGAGACCTAAAAATCCCCAAGGTTGAGATGGGCATTAAGTTAATGGTTAGAGGTGGCAACATGAGCTGCTAGTAGAAGCGGTCCCCAACCCTTGCTCCCATTTCCAGCATCCCCCAGTACAGCCTTTGAGGAGTAGTTCAAAACAAAACAAAACAAAAAAAGGCTTTAATTTATATAAAACAAAACCATGTAGAATCAGTTGAACAACACTGACTGTACAAAGGAGAAAAAAAAAAAAGACAGCCAAAACAACCCCAATCCAACCTCACAACACCTCAGGAATGGTACAGATGCTGGAGAGCAGCTAAAGACTAGTGTTGATGTGGGGCACAAGAACCCTTCTTTATTTTATTTTTTCCTTCTCCTTTAAATTAAAGAAACATTTTTAAAAAGTGAGCAAATGTTACAGGCAAATCTTCCATTTCCAATCCAGAGAGAAGATCTAGTGAGATTTTTTGTTTTTCCAGGGCAAAAACACGTGGTGGGCAAATGAAGGGGGAGGTGACAAAAACAGTAATAATCAAACAAAGCAGAGACAAATACAGTTTTTCTTCCTAGATACAGAGCAGCTTTGCGATTTCATGATGGAAATCTTCATTGCCTCGTCACCCGCCGAGGCCTGGCTCCTGCGGAGGCCGCATGTGGCCCTGGGGTGCCCAGAAGATGTTTTCCAGGAGAAGTGGCCTTTCGCGGTGCCGGGGAAGGGGAGGACATCACCTGTTGGCCATATATCCCTGGCTTCCCAGGCTGCTGAGCCAGTGATTGTCTTCTGCTCCGTGTTAAGTGATGGGAAACAGGTGCCGGGCAGCCCAGACAGGTTCTCCAAATCCCCCCGGCTTCCACACCACCCGGCCCAAATTGGCTCTGGCTTTGCTCTTAAGCCAAAATCACTACTACAAAGGATTCCTCTGCCCCGCGCGGGGCTGCCAGGCTCTCTGCGCTCATTTGAGCTGGGCAATAAAGCGGGCTGAGGTGAGCCAAGAAATCCGGCCTTGGGCCGCACTGGGTTTTCAAGAGCGAGGAGGGAAAAGGCACCCGTGGGGCCTACTTGAGGAGAGGGGCTGCAGGCTGGGCCCCCTCTGGCCGCTTCAGCAACATGGGTCATCGGCCGCGCAGGAGCTGCTGCGGCTTCATTCCACCCATGTGAACTATTGGGGCAGCCTGAGGGAGAAGAGCAGCAAGCCCCGGCCTCCAGGAACCGTCAGGACATGGAGGGAGATGGTAACACCACAGGGCTCTCCTCAGGAGAGGCAGGAGCGACCCAGCACTTTGCTAAGCTCTGAAGGCCATAAAAGCTACTTCCACTACTTGCCCGCTCACGACAATCTGTCTCCGGAACCTGGTCCCACCATTGGCTCCTGTCCACTTCTGGAAGAAGGGAATTTCTTCAAGTTTCCAGCTGAATTTCCAGCACAAAGCAACACAGTACTAGGGGACAAAGCCAAGGAAGCCACGACCCCTTGCAGGACAGGTCTTTCCCTGCAAGCTATGCATCGCTCCAGCTCTTGCAGCCAAGCATGTTTGCTTGGAGCAGCGCTGCAGACCAAAGCAGTTTTCCCTTCCCAAGAAGCTGTCACAGCCACACAAGAGCAGGACGCGGCTGTCCCTTGATGTGACCCCATAGTTGCTCTTTTCCATGTGGTTTCCGTGTTTCAGACTCCAAGAGTGGCCAGCTTTGCAGTCCCAGGCGCTGCCTGCTCCTTCACACTCCAGTGGGAAAAGCTGCTTCTCCCCTTTCCCCACTTTCATCTAGGACAGGAGCCAGAGCAACACTAGCTTAGGCATTGGGAAGAAGAACTAAGACAGAATTGGGGGGAACTCTCTTTCCTGGGGTAGCAACTTTTGAAGCGGGAGGGCAGGAGTGCAGATGTGGGACTGCAGAAGCAGGAGCCTGAGCTATCTGGCAGCAGAAGACAAATGTTGCCCCTTTTTCCCCACTGCTTCTCAATCCACAATCAGCTGCACAGCAGAAAACACAAAGCAAATGGGGTGCCAAGTGGCTGGGTGAGTTTTCACCTTGGAGTTGGGTCTCTGACCTGCTTATTCTCCCACTTTCCCAAATCCACATCCTTGGGCTCTTCCCTCTGTTCCTCAAGTGATTTAAGCCCCAGTCCTACCTGCAAGTTTTAGGGAACGATCACAGTAAAATAGCTTGGAGCATGTAACACAAATCATCCTTTCCTTCTGCCTATGAAGCATTAAAAAACAAAAGAGTAAACCCATGGCATGATTGAAAGTCTCTTAAAGCATTAGTACATTTCCTGCTTAAATCTCCCAGTTCTCCTCTTTTGCTAACATTGGAAGAGTTAATCCAATGCTTTTATTTACATGGCTGCATAAAATTTTCCCTGACTGCTTCTTAAAAAAAAATTTTTTTTGGCAACAGCAGTTTAACGTCCTGGTGGAAACTGCCATCAGTCCCCTGTCCCTATTTCTTTCCCCCGCCCTACATCCAACGAGCACTATTGCACCAGCTATCTGTTCAGGAGTCCAAGAGTTAAAGTTGCAGCATAGACTCTCTTTGCCTACTCCCTTAAGCCTCTCAATCTTCCATTAAATCCATTCCTCTACCGAGACTGGATGAGCTTTTTCTCCTTCCCCCTGGCCCAGCCCAGCAGCTGTTGAATTTTCCACCCCAGGCGGAGAGGCAAAGCCCAGAGCATTCTTGGAGGGGCGCTGGGCAGACTCCCCTCCCTGCCAGTCCAATGAGACCCAGCCAGCACCGCACTTTGTACATGAAGCCAAACACGAGCACGTTCCCAATCTTGCGCGCGCCATCGGAAAAGCAACCAAAGCCCATCCGAAAGGATCCAGTTGAAAAGGGTTAAGTGTGCAAACATCTGTACATTGGTGGGTGAGTGCGGATATGTCGAGGAGCTCACGGTGCGTCCATCCTGCTAAGAAATCTTGCAGTTGTTGCGTGAGCAGTTCTGTGGGGGACTCTGGGGAGGGCGAATTGATTTGGACCTCTTCAAGCTGTTACCTTTGCTGCTGCTCCCACCTCCGCTGCTGGCCAGGGAATATGAGCGGCCGTGCATCATCACTGCGTTCATGCCATTTGCCATGGAGAAGGATTTCAGGTGGCTCTTGATGGTGACGGGCAATGGCAGCTTGTCAATGAGGTGGACTGGAGTGCAGGACACGATGGCTCGGCAGCACAGGTCCTGCAAGCTGAACACTGGTGGAAGGAAAGACCTGACAGTCAAGACTGCAAGGACAGGTTCTTCCTACAACAGTTCTTTATGCTACGTCATTCTTGTTTTAGATTATAAGAGCTAAAAGCCTTCAATAGAGAACAAATTAGTTGGGAATCCTTTATCCTCAACCTTTTGTCCTAAATTTGAGGCAAGCTCTGTCTTTACAGCTCAGCGTTTGTTTTGAGACACCAGCTTTTCTGGCAGCACTGGGTTAGATGCTGCTACCACTTCTCCCAGCACAGCAGACAGGAGAGGTAGAGAACTTGCTCATCTTCCTGCCTGGTTCCTCAAGCTACCATTCCATAACCTGAAGGACAGACGCAGGGAGAGCCGACAACAGGTTCTGCAAGCCCTAGGGCTGGACATTGTCCCATTTGCCACTGGTTTAGTAAGGAAAAACCAAGGAGCAGGCTCCTTGCTGACTGACTGCAGCTGCAAAGACACCACCAAACCAGAACAAGGCTCAGCCACTTGAGGCTTCTCAGAGCCTACGCAGTTCAGTGCGAAACACACAGATCTGCTTTGGGAAGCCTAGTTGGGATTTCACAGCAACTGGCCACATGAGGGCATGCTTTTACCTCCAGCAGGCTGCAGCCCATGAAAGCCTCTCTGCTATTCTAAAGCAGGCAGTGCAGGAAGCCAGAAGTTAGAAAACCTGCCTCTGGAAAAGATTCAGGAGTGGGTGACAGCAGAGAGCTTCACTGCCAAACCACAACTGCTGCTACCTACACTGGCTCAGCAGAAGGCAAGCACAGAGTATGGTGTCACACAGCACCAAGGAACCTACTGTGCAGATGCAACCTGCTACCTCTGGCATGAGCAGTCCCCGAGGTGCCACTTCAGCCCAGAGCACTTCCCTCCTGCTCGGCAGCTTTGCACAAGGACAAAACAGCAGCACACCAGCAAGGTCGGGCACAGGGATCTGGCGTGGAGGGGCTGGCTTGGAGGGTCTTCTGTCCCACAGGACCCATATGAAAGCAGACACCCCCAAAGGTGAGAGGATAAAACTGCTGCTGCTTAGTCTGTCAAGGGGGCACACTGCCACCTCCAGTCAGGAACGTGGGGCCTAGAACTATTCTACTTCAAATGTAACACACAGAGAAACAGCACAGGCTCAGCTCCCACTGTTGATGTGGGAAGGACAGGCTGGACTATTCCAGGACACTGCTCCATGTCCCAAAGAGGCACAGAATTTAGTCCCTACCAACATTTTTTGTGTTGCCTTGGATTTGCTCAGCCTCCATGTCTCTCTGAATTTGGATATACAGGCTCAGACAAGGATAAGGACAGAGGTGCCTACACTTGGATTCATCCCCCATAAGCATTTGATTGAAGTACTTCTAAGTTGTGAGGTTAATTGCCCTCAGCCTCATCTAGAGGAGAGGGAGAGGTGCACGATGCTCCAGAGCAGTTGAGAACCTAGACGTGCCACACTGCACTCTGGAGCTGTCCATGCCTCACTGCTGGCTGCAGGGCTCCTGCAGAAATCCAGGCAACTTGATGAAATGCCTCAGGGTTTGTGGAGCAGCACCCGAGCCACAACTTGTCAAGTGCTTTCAGATCCCGCAGTTACTAGTAAGCCTGTCTCCCACTTGAGGGGAGGCAGAGAGCCTCCATTTCAGCCTAGCCAGCTGCCATGTCCTCCCTACTCAAAGTACCTTCCTCACTACTGACCTCTGTTGGGTCTCCAGATCTTCTCCATGCCATGTCGCATGAGCACGATGCGAGACAGCTCCGTGAAGGATTCAATGACATTGAAATTGCACAGTGGGCTGACCTCAAAAAACGTCATGCAGTTCTTCTCAGCATAGGCCCGGGCCTGCTCTGTTGGTACCTGCCGCTTGAAGGCGAGGTGAAGCCTGTTTCCCACCAGGATCCGAGGGACACCTGGGGCGTGCTTTAAGAGAAAGGAAGAAGGAAAAGCATGGTTTGCCTTTAGTAATGGGATGCATTACATCCAGGATCCTACTTACCTTTAACAGCAGCAGAGGGGGGAGGAATAGAAGCTGCTCTGTGATGAGGAGTGACTGTCAAGAAATTGGTATTAGATGATGGAAAAGGCTAATTTGGCTTCCCTAGAAGCCATTTGAGACGTAATCTCCCTATGTTTCTTAGCTAATCTCAGGCCTTTTGCTATTACTTGGGGTTTATACACGGGAACAGGCACTTGCCCTCTCACTTTGCTGAATAGTAAACTGCAATGATTCTCCACAGCAGAAACATTCCCAACCCTATCCCAGGGTGCAGCCTCCCAGGGTTTTTAATCATAGATCACTGCGCTCATGCATCAAGTTTAATCTTCTTGCACTACCCATACACACTGGCTCTTCACAGGCACAAAGGCCTCAGTGTGTGAATGGTGCATTAAAACACCCACATATGGTCTTTCACTCAACTTACCTCATCTATTTCCTTTATCCACCGATCTATCCCATCAAAGGACCAGCGATTAGTGATATCATACACCAAGAGAATTCCCTAGTAAAAGAGAATACACAATTAGGAAGTTTCATAAAACACAAACTTTTAAAAAAAAAAAAAGATGCACCTGAAAAGGTTATTTTTATATTCAGAAATTTGAGGTCTGAGACACAAAAATAATATTTTTCAGTGTGCCTCAGTTTTAGCCCTAGTGTGTACCAGCAAGTCTGAGGAATTAGAGAGGGATTTATCCCCTTTTCTAACAAATCAGCAATGTTGGGAAAGGTGCCAATTCTGTTTTTGCTTGAGTGTCTCCCAAACCATTTATAAAGCAGCAGATTCTTTGCCAAGGAGAACCTGTCTTGGTGACTTTGTATCAGATTTCAGCTAGGATGAATGGGTGGTTTTGCTCAAGCCTGCTTTCTGAAGCTGCTTGGAATAACAATCTGGGACTAGCTGGCAGGAAGGAAGGTTGCGCGACACAAACCCTGTAACAAACCTGACACAGAACCAGAAACAGGCTTTTCCCTTTGCTGCTGTTGCAAAACAGCTACGTTAAAAGATCACAGGAGCAGGGGCTGCACAGCCAGGCCTCACATGGAAAACAACCCAGGAGCAATAAGACTAAGCCGAGGGCAAGACAAACCAGTTCAAGATATGAACACCTGGATGTAGACGATTTAGCAGCAAGCTTGGCAGAAACAGACAACCTGCCCAACATTCATCCTAGTAGGAGTCAATGACCCACCGAGTATCCTAATGTTCCAGCAGGGCTGCTGCTTTCTTTGTTCAAACAAAGAGACCTACTACCCAGGCAAGAAACTCAATCCACTCGCTCCTCCTGTAACACACCTTTACATTTTCTGCTGGATGATTTCTGGCCTGCCTTTAGCCCGCAGAAACAGACCCTAGACCTAGTGCGTCAATACTGCTTCTGCCAGAAACAGTCTCGAGGCCAGACTCTTCAAGCATGCTGGCAAGGGCGGTCTCAGATCTCTTGCAAGAAGAATAAGGAAAAAATATCAGCAAAAATGCAGTATCAGGTTCTTAATAGCAAGGGGGAAGCAAAGACGATACTTTCCAAATGCAAGAAGGGACACAACTGTCTCCCCAAGGTCATCCTCCAAAGTCAGGGCCCAGCTCCACGTGTACACATGGAAAAGTAAATTATCCAGTCAAGTTTTCAAATGAGGAAGAAACACGGAGGCCAAGTTGCCTAAAACCTCGATTCTGCCCTTATCTTCCCCACCATGAGTACTGAGACGAGCTATGTATTTGCTCAGTGTGAGATGGATGAAGCAGCCTTAAAAAACCCTCTCCCATGTGTGGCATTGCCAGACTCTGCGCTTCTTCCAAACGGTATGGGTATGCCTTGAACATCACATTTCTACAGAACACATCTCAAATATGCTTTGTTATTACTACTTTTGCTCCTAGAGGAAACAGTACACAGACATGCAGGCAGACAGGGAATTGGCTCCATTGCTCCTAACAACTCCAACCAGGATCAAAGGAAAAAAGGAGGGGGGAGGAAACTGTGCTAAAGATTTTAATTAATCATAAATGGCCAAATTTCTATTTGCAACCTAAACAGCATTCTTTCCAAAAGCCTAGATCACTGTGAACATCCTAGTATCTCCATACTTACCAAATAATATTTGCTTCCACAAAGCAGCTTTCAAGTGTTATGCACCCCATTTTCCCCTAGTTTCCACAGCATGGAGGAATGAAAACCTCGACCCGAACTTTATACGCACGTTCTGAAACACAAGGTTACGCAAACCAGCAATGGAATTTCCATCTAGGTGCTGCCTCACACAGCGAGCAAAGACAACAACAGGTTGTCTGTTATTGTACAAAGCGGCCCGTACGGACACTCGCGCTGACAAAAGCCAAGCGCTCAGTGGAGGCCTACGGAGACCTGTCTGCATAGGCGATGGGGACAAGCTGGACCATGTCCCCAGGTCTGCTTATTGCAGGTAAATTGGACTTACCTGGACCTTGCTTGTGGGGCAATTCCACTTCTGCTGCCAGATAATTTCCTAACAGCATCAGACACTTGTTTAAATCACTAAGCTTTGATAAACGGCTGGACAGGCAGGGGCTGACTCCCAGCAGCAGGACAACATCCATGGAAGTGACGTGACCTGGCTAAGTGGCTGCAGCAACTGCTTTAAGGGCTACAGCAAAGACTACTATAGTTCTTTGCTATTCTTTTAGGGCTAGCATAAGATTTCGAACTTTATGTGCACTGGTTATGACTTTCTGTAGGTGGCCTGAAACAATTACAGAATCACAGAATGCTTAAGGTTGGAAGGGACCTCTAGAGATCATCTAGTCCAATCTCCTGCTCCAGCAGGGACACCCAGAGCACATGGCACAGGGTATGAGGGATTTAGGCTCCCATATATAACACTGGCTGTAAAATGATGGTGGGCTGTGTTTCCAGAGTTGGTTCAAGTCACCAGCACGTGAGGACAAGAGCAAGGACTAACTCTAAACCAGCAAGAGAGATTCTGAAGCAAGGCTGCCGGGACCTGCTGGCCAAACACACTGCTAAAAGGGAAGGGTTAATGAGAGCTGCTGTCCTAGAAGTGGGGGAATCTCAAACCCCAGGGAAGCGAGGAGAGAAAAGGAGGGAGATCTCAGTCACATTGGTATGTTAACAAGCCTCCTCCTTGAGCTAAATTGCTCACTGAAATTTATATATTGCTCACTGCTATTTATAAATGGAAAAAGATCAATTTATAACTGATAAGAAGGAGGGCATGGTCCCAAGCAAAGGGATATATTTGTATTGAAGCTCTAGAGTTTTTTGAATGCAGTATGGGTGAAAAGAAGTTTGTCTTCAAACTCATGCGTTGCACTCGATGTGCAAGTTGGAGGCCTGTGTGCTCTCCCACTAACACTCCTGTGTCTCGCGCTCCTGCAGTACCTGGGAAGGTGGCCTTAGCTTCCAGGAAGCTGCCTCAAAGCCACCTGCAGCACTAGAGATCTGCCCAATCACGAATCAATGACAAACTGTAGGAGGCATGAACAGCACATGCCAGTCTAAGGTGATCTCATGTCTAAAGCACAAGTAAACGTGCAAGAAGTCTAAGTTCGTTTAACTTGAGGAGAAATTATCCTGGAGGCTCCCTGTCATGTTACTACAAGGATGACTTTAGCATAGCAAGTAAGCATTACTAAAAGTTTTTTTTTTTTTTTTTCTCTCTCTCAGAAGAACTACAAGATATTTCTGATGTTCAGAACCTAGGCTTTTTTTTTCTGGAGCAGGACCCAAAGGAGAAGTTCAAAATTTAATGCTTTGTTTCATGTTTTTAAAAATGCACTTTAAAATCCAACTCGGTTGCTCTAATTTCAGTTTGGTATCAAACACGCAAGTTGGAGGAGCCCTATTTTTGGAACTGACTTGAATGCAGCACAGATGGGAAGAAGTCCATGGGGAAAGCTGCTGTCATATTTAAACAAACTGGACAAGCCTCAGAAAGCACCCGGCCCCGCATTAAAGCGGAGACAGATCCAAAGTGAGAATTGCCTTTTCCTCTATAAGCTTTGCCTTCTCAGCCCTTAATCTAGAAACCAATAGCAAATTTAGTCTGCAATAGACCTTTTCTGTAGCAAAGTCTGTCCCTCTCCCTCCCTTCTTTCTCACTGTTTCACAAAAACGGAGTACTACCCAGCAAAGAAATACGGTGCATTAAGATAGTTCCCATCCTTCTGATGCTTGAGGCGCTGTTCTTCAGAGCCTTTAATTACAGAGTGAAAGACTTTTTACAGCAAATATCTCCTCCTAGAACACTGACAGCACGCGCTTACCTGGGCTCCTCTAGAGTAGGATCTGAAAATGGTACAAAATCTTCCTTGTCCTGATGTGTCCCTGTAACAAAGAAAACTAAAATTACATCTGTGAATGCTAAAGAATAAAATCCCATACCACACTGCTCTTGTTGGACTAAAATCCAAGCAGCACTGACATCCTTAGATTTTTGAAATATGTATGATACCTGAGCTGCTCTGCAAGGTGTTTTCAGGAAAGATCTGAAGCTATTCACCATGCTTCCCATGGCGCAGACACCAACAGGATCATAAAATGAACATAATCATCGAAAAGAGGAAAAGTTTTCTTGCACTAGCTAGTTTCATTGACTTTTCCAAACAAGTTTTAGCCAAATATGAAAGAAAGAGCCTCTAACTAAACCTCCTTGACACACCTAACCCTACACAGGGCTCAGGAACACAACCAGGGAAGTCCTGCTCACTGGGAACAAGGGACTTGTCAAACACTAACCCTTCTCCTGGGTTGGATGAGCAAAGAAATGCTAAGGGGTAATCATTAAGAGAAACATTAAAGCATTGTAAAATTTATATTGTAAGCATTTCAGAGAAGGTCATGTTCTCCAATTTTGGTAGTACAGGACAAAAAGAAAAGAGCTTTGAGGGAGAAGCAAGAGGTGACTACACAGAGTTGAAATGTTAAAATAGGCATCTTACAAACAAGAGGGACAAAAGAATATAAGAACCCCGCCCCCCAAAAAATAACCCACCAAGCCAGAAGAGGTAATTTAGGCATTTCTATTCATTCATGACAAAAATGAGGAGATGCAACTGAAAGCAGCTGTTGAATTAAACACCGAGTCAGCCACTGAGGCTAAGAACCTGGTTTGCCATTTAACAATTTACACAGATATTTCAGTTGATACAAGCATTGAAGTGGAAATTTAACTCTATATTCAAAAGCCTTTGACTCCCCTTATCAGGGCAAGGTGAAACCCAGAATAAGACCCGGCAGCCTCTTATCTACAGGATTCTTGTGGCAGTTTCTCAGCAGTTTAAACCACAGGCAGAAAGCTGGCCAGGAAGACTCTGGGTCTCCTGCCTCCACTAGCATGACAGGGAGTCACAATTGTCCCAAAGCATCCTCCCATCTCCATCCCAGTGTCAGGCCACACCAGTAAATCCTATTCTCTGGGGATTTATTGTAGTCTGTGACACAAAAAGTGAACCCGATTCGCTGCACTACTTGGGTAGGAAGTTCTAAGTCCTTGAGAAATATCCAGGCTTCTGCAGAGGCAAACAAATGGCTTCATATGCTCTTCTCCTCCTTTTCTATTCCCTCGTACATATTCCTCTCCCTAGATGTCAAGGAAAGTCCAGTACTACTGCCAGAATAGTCCTGCTCTCCAGTGACTGAGGGCTGTATGGAAATAGCCAGGGATCATGGAGAAAGAACAGTATGGGAACACTGGCAAAGAAGATAACCTGCTATTTGTGCTACTCATCAGCAGGATGCGGTCTGATTTGCTTCTTCTTTGGGAGAAGAAAAGCTAATAAAGTCTCCCTGCACAACCAGGGAATGCTCTGCTTCTCCATCATTCAATACAGCACCGCACTATCAGTGTTCCTCTGCTGGCAGATGCTGCTCTCACAGTGAATACAATTTAAAAATCAAACTCACCAGAGCTCCAGCTTGACCCTCCTGCCATCCAGCAAGATAGTAGTGGTCTTGTAGTCAATTCCTGAAAGGAAACCAACACAAAGCTGAGCAAGAGATCAGCCAGAAACTGCCTTGACCCACCCAGGCCCACCATTCACCCCTTCCCACAAAGGGGAATTTTCTCCCTCTTGCCATACTGCAAGTTTCTGGATAACTGGAACATGGACGTGATGAAACAGAAACAGACTTTGCTTCAAAATTCAGAGCAATTTTGTGCAGCTTTTTCTCTCTTCCCCCAAAAGAAATCTTCCCCCCTAGATTGCCTCCTTCTTCTGCAGTCCTAGGTAAAGCCTGCCACAACTCTTCTCTCTAGAAGCTGTTTTGTGACTCTTCAGATTGATAAAAGTAAATGCTCTGTGAATGCTCTCACTACCTAAAGCAAGAGGATTAAGTCAGAGACTTTGCGGGGGTGGGGGGGAAATCAGCCAGAAAAATGAAAAATGCCAAAGTTTCTCTGATGAGTTAACACGCAGACAAGCATCTTTGAATGAACATTGCCTCCTCACACATTCAAAGGAGGATTTAGAAGGCAGCAATACTGAACGCCTGCCCAAGTTTACAACCTCTTCTTTCCAACTATGGGACAGAATAGAAATTGAGAAACACTATACTTGTCAAGGAACTAAAATTTATTTAAAAAAAAAAAAAAGGCAAATTCAAGTTTGCCTCACTAAAAGAGATCTCCAGTTTGGTGGTAAAGCAGCACCTGTTCATATTTCACTAAGTTTTGGAAGAACAGCGTCTTCTTACACATTAGACATACTTATTCCCCAGGATACATGACAACGTGTACTGCCAAATTACACGGCCCACTGTCAGCACGAGAAAGAAGCTCCATAGAGCAGAGACGGGTGAGCCCAAAACTCCCTTTGGTGCTCCACCAAGGCAGGAGATGGTCCATGCTTCAATTCCTTTTCCTACAGAGAAAACTGAGGACTATCACACAAGAGTCAGGAAGGTTTATAAGCAAAGGCTGATGCAACCTTGACTGATGTTTTTTTACCCTTATAGTTGCAGATCAAAGCTCGTGAAAGGTTCAAGCAACAGTCTGGTGTATTAGAGGCCTCTTCTGCTTGGAGGTTCGGGAAGGAAGGGCTGCGCAAGGGAGGAAAAAGTGGAACCCATCTAAAACTTCAAGGAAAGCACCTGCATCCCGGCTTGGTTTAAAATGTGGCACCATTCAGACTGAAACATGATTGTTGTGGCATAAAATGCTGTTTTTTATAGAGCCACAGTATCAGAAAAGCTAACCCACCCCTCTAAGCAAGATTGGACTGTGCTGGCAAAGGCAAAAAGCACTGTTATGAGGCAGCCACTGGAAAATGCAAGCAGTCTTTAAGGAATCACAATGCCTTCCCTCCTATTAGATCAGCTTTATTTTCCCCTCTGAAGCCTTGATTTTCCATCAAAAACCCACGACTGTTTCCCATCATATTTCCCTTCTCCTGTAAGGACAACGCTGCCCTAGTAACCTCACAGGCAAGTTTGTCAATAAAGCAAATGGATTTTCCTTCTGAGCCATCAGCAGGAGCTTCCTCTCAGTGCAAAAAGAAATTGGATTTTAGCCATCGTAGGATGCTATAAAAAGCAACAAAGATAGTTATCTCAAATCCCAACCATTTCCAGTGCTTTATCATGGAAAAGGGATAGTTCACATTTTATCGTCCTCCAGAGACAAGTGAATGACCTATATTTATTTTCATATTGATTTCAATCCCCCCTGTCCCAAGCCACAGCAAGCAGCACCACTGCATTAGTGGAAACAATTCTGCTCTGCACCCAAAGGATGGGCAACCTGGGATGAAGCATCCAAAAAGATGGGTGCTTCAGCCATTTCCCTCTGCTGTCCTCATTCCAGAACCCAAATTTCTCTGCGGCCTGGGCTCTTATGACAGTGCACTTAATTAAGCCAACTAAGAAGAGCAATGTAGTTTTGGGGGCACGAAGGCCACATGCTTCCAGAATGCAGTTGTCAGGATGAAATCATTCACTTGACCCTTATCTCAAAAATGGTTTAGGATCTAGGAAGAGAAGAAAACTCAAGTTAATGCAAACTATACAGCTACAATCCCAGGTATTGACAGCTACAAGGTTTCGCATTCACAAACCACCTACTCTGCAGGTTGGACATTCACGATGTCCTCAACAGAGAGCTGCTGGCCTTCTGCAAACATGCGAAGTAGGCACAAGAGCAATGCTTTAAACACCCATTCTTACCTGCAACTGCACCGAGTACCGTAACTCAAATGAACACGGGCCTCTTGGGTGCAACACATGCCCCTTCTTGAACTCCTGCTATTATTCATCCCACCTTCAAAGATGTTTCAGAAAAATAGGCAGGCAAATAATGTTCTTTCACCCCCATGTCTGCACTCTCAGAAGGCAAAACATGCTAGATAGAGCACAAGGTACAGCATAAGAACTTGTTCCACTCGAAACAAGCGATGGAGCCCTGTTTTGGGACAAGCAGATTGGGCAGAGAACTAAAAATTAATTTCCAGTGCCTTGTGCAGAAGTATGATGAAAAGCGGAGCACCAAGTCTATTCCTTCACTTTTGGCAAGAGCCACGAGTCGGTTGTTTTTATTGCCTGGCCTCAAGATATCCCACATCTTCATCCTGCATTTATATCCTTACCAAGGACTGGAAGTAGAGGGTAAAGGCTTTTTCCCCCAAAGGCTGTAACTTGCAGCACTGGTAGGAGACTTGGTCTGAGGAACTCATGTACACTCACATTAAAAGCAAAGCTGTTTTGACTTTTATTTTAAGCTACATTCTGCATTTAAACTTTATCCAGTAATGTGGCTTGGCAGAAAGGGATGCCCTTTGTAATGTACCCAGATTTGAACTATGGGTTCAATTTAAATGGGAAAAAAACCCAGCACCACCAAAAAACAGAAAGCAAAGCAAAAAAAAAAAATCATTTAAGCAAAGAGCTCTAGTTACAGGTTGACGAATACTAACAGTTTATGCAATGGCCACACTGGGGAAACCATGAGCTCCTGGCCGCCTCCGCACTCACACACTCACACAGTGCATCAGGACAGCTCAAAGTGACGCCCTTTCGAGGCTGCCTCAGCATCTCCTGGGGTCTGTTCTGCAGCTGGGTACTACATAAATCATTATGTGGATGGCTTTGCCATTTCCTACCCAAAAGCAACCGCCTGCAGAGCTCACACAATTGTGAGCAGTTGCAATCTAAAGCTAAGAGCCACTACCTCTATTTTATTCACATTAACCAATTCTTTGGCTGTGGGCCATGAGGACCAGCCTCTCAGCCCTTCACCTCAGCACGCAGAGCTCCGGGCTGCAGCAGGGAGATGAGGCAAGTGGCTGAGCTGGCTTTCCTGGACCCACCTTTAGTAGCTCCACGGCTCAGGCCTGGCTTTTCTTTGGTGCCAGGGATTTTGCAGGAGACCAAGCGCACCGTTTCCCACCCCGCGGCAGCCGCTAGGTGCCACCATCGCACAGGAGCTTTTGGCAGCTGACGGCCTCTCCGGCGCTGCTCTTCCAGCCTGCAACAGCGCTGCTCTTTTGTCTTCGCCAAGCCCGGCAGCGCAGGAGCTGGCGGGTCTGGGGAAGTTCAAATGGGATTTGGGCAGCTCACAGGGTTTCCCTCTACCCTAATAGCTCCTCTGCTTGCAGCGCCTCCCTTCACAACCAGCCTTTCGTCTCGCTCAGAAGCGGCCTGGAGTGTCTAAAACACAACGCGCTGCTGCACAGCCCCGCACGGCAAAGCTGCAGCCTCAGCAGGGCGGCCGCTCCGATCCGATCCGATCCGCGGCTGCTGCTCCGGGAGCCCCGCCTGGCCCTCCGGGCACCCAGAGGCAAACACCAAGCAGCCCTCCTTCAAGCCAATTTTCGTTTATCAAGCCATCTCCTTCTTGACCAATATCTAGCCTGCTGTAACAAAACGAATGCAGCTTGGAAAACAAGTCTGGGCGGGGCTCTCATTTATTCCATCTCCTCTGCTATTTTTTTCCAGTTCCCCTTGATGCTCCTACTTACCCTGACGCCATTCCAACTTATTTTTTGAGCCGTAAAGCTACTTGGTACAGAGTAGCAAGTAAAGCAATCTGCTGCCACTGACCTCCATGTCGGGCACTCAGTTCCCTTGGCAGAATGAAGCTCCACATGGCTAGTGCCATAACCAGCTCCATCTCCAGAAAAGCCAAAAAAGGTCTTTTGACAATCAATAAAGAAGAACTCCTAGAAATCAAGCTTCCCTCCTAGAAATCAAGCCTTGGGGAGGCACTGCATGAATCTTTACCTACTCTAAAACACTAATTTAGACCACAAAATACTTGCTGTTAATAGTTATATGAATTGGAAGAAACCTTAGAGTTAATTAAAATTTGACCTTCCACCTGAAAGACTGTACCCATCTTACTGGGAAATAAAACCCCTTCAAGAAAAATGTCCATTTGCTTGGAAAATTTGGAATTGTTGAAAGAAAACTGGGATATGTATTTAATGCTACTCTTAGGCCCTCCCTTTTTAGTTTTATGTAGTCCAAACCAACCGTTCTCCTCCAAACGGGCTCTAAAAAGCCAACCTCCCCAAATTAATGGCTCCACTATCCCCGCCTAAACATATATATTTAGGAGACATAAAAGGAGGCAGCTGGAGGAGCCCCATTACAGAGAGATGAAGGGACTCAGCATTAGAAGAAGCCACAGCAGGTTTTTCTGGAAAGGTTCGCAGTCTGTGCACAGCCACACTGGCAACGTTATCTCACGTTTGCATCTGTGGTGCCTTTGAGAAAAAAATTATCAGCAAATCTGGGTTGGAGAACACGCCAGGTGACAGCTGGAGATCTCTTTCTAAAAAAAGGAAAAAGGCACTCAAGTGAGACACTGACATATTTTTAAAGACAAGCTTGTTTGCCTTCCTAGAGGTGTTTTAAGTTGTTTCTATCTTGCATGAATCACTGATTGACCCAAGTTACTTTTGCTCCTTGACTATTTAAATGGAGTGCTTTCTCTTTGGGAATTAATTTTCTTCTTTTCTGTTAGTTCACTCA